GAAGGTATCTTGCCTGTGTCTACACTGGTCCCAAGTACAGTGTTAGCGACAGAAATAAGACTTGGTTAACATGATACCCTTTTTCTTAGTCTTTTTTTCCTTAAGGTTGCCCTGATTATTACTAACATTTTAACAAAAAATAGTTTTCTGGGAATGCTTGCTTTTCAAATTTATTTTTTAATAGTGTCCCATGTTTATAGTGTCCCAGTCATACCACGGCTGTAGGATTTTCATTTTAATCCTACTCTGTTTTTAGATAGTTTGAACTTCAGCTTTTTATCATGCAACATTGCAATATCTGCATTGCAAATACTTTGTAGGAATGTTTAAAGGTTGCCCATGAGGAAAAAGCATATTAGAATTCAGGGAGATATACTTGCAGTTCTTTAATTTTGTAAAATCTTGCTGAATTGGGGCAAATTTGATGTAGCTGTCTCCTTAAATACAAAAGTAAATAATGGTTGGGTTAAATTCTGTGGCCATGTCCCTGCTGCTTCTTCCTAGGATGGGATTATGCTCTCTAAATTTCTGGTTTTGTACATCTTTGTAGTGAAACAAAACTGATGAAGTGGGTAGAAGGAAGTTTTGTTTTGTTTGGGCTTTTTTTTTTGGGTCTTATTTTATCTGAGCCACAGTCCTGAATAACTGTCATAAGCTTTTATTGCTCTTTCTGTCCTTATTGCTGTGTTATTTGAGCCATTCCATAGTTAACTAATTAGCTTCTGTTGGGAAGCAAAGTAGGTGCCAAACAAACATTCCAAATCGAAGGGTTTTTTCCAGCTATATGCTCAATTTTCAAGCTCTTAAGGGGATAACAGTATCTTCTCAAACTGCCAAATTATGTGTTATTGGAAGTAGGTTTTTGTTTCTCTGCTGCATTTTCTTTAAGTTGTTGCATAAATGCATGGGGTTTGTATTATTTTTTTTGTAGGCCAAATAAGTGCTTTTGTGCCTGCTTTTCTGTTGTATAAATGTCTGGTATTTCAGTTATGTTTGTATCACTGAGCGTATGTCTTACAGTAACTTTCCAGTAATAAGCCCTTGTCAGGGATGAGGATCTCTGTTTGCAACTGTTGAGTAGCCATAGCGTTCACCATCCTCCAGAAAGGTAATCCCTCTAGGTTTTGTTCAAGCTCTTCGTTTGGGTTGGGTTTGCTTGTCAAGAACAGGATAGGCGCAGGCTGGCAAGTGCCTGTGGTACAGCTGAGTGCTGTGCCGCTACTGTCTGGACCTGTGCGCATGGTGTGCTCCTGAAGCCCTGAGCAGAGACTTGAGCTTACCCACTTAGACTGTACCTAGACTAAACTTGGCTTGGGTAAGAACAGAGCCCGTGCTTGGCATGCTCTGCCTGTGCCTAATGCACCTTCCAGCAGCTCAGAGAAACTCACAGATCTTATCTGGACAGAAATAGCTGCTGGGGGTTTTTTTGGGGTTTGTTTTTTTTTTTGCACTTACCACCCACAGAAGCATGTGAAACACAATGTGAGCATGCAGGGTATGTGGTAAAGTTTCTTTCACACATAAAAAATGTTAAATAACTCAAGTAAACAAGTAGATCAAGAGTTTTTAGATTTGATTTCATTAATGAAAGATATTTTTGTTAGGGCTGAAAAGGCAGATATTTTGATACTTGCTTCACCATCTGTATTCTCAGGTTTTTGCCGTGTTTTGCTATATACCTAACAAATTTCTCCATTAAGAAATATCTGCAATGCTGTGGGTACTTTTTTCATTACTTCATAAAAGCATCAAAATTTTATTATAGATGCTTCCAACTTCAGTCAAATGCAGTTCCTGATGCTGTGATGAATGGTAATTTTTTTTTTTGTAATCCAGTATCATTCCTTAGTGACTTCACACTGAAGTGTCTTCAGTTTTTATTACATTAATGGTTGCTTTTAGAAAGTGCTTACCAGGACAAACTCCCAAAAATTAGTAGATCTAATGTTGCATAATTTTACAGAAGGGTGAAGACTTGCAACTAATGTGCACAATTGACTTCCTTTCATAAAGCAGCAATTTTTGCAGAATTCATCTGAAAAGCAAAAAACCACAGTTGTTTTCATATGAGATAGACTTAATATTATTCCCAAGATGGCATTAATTTTTCCTGTTATTAGCATTGTTATTTAAGAATTTTTTTTCCTTTAAGGCAGCAACTCACTGTTTAAAAAAGGTGGAGTTTAGGGCAAATCTTAAAGTTATGTGTGTGGAAAAGTGTTCTTTTATCTCTTCATAAAAATATAGGAATTTATTGTTAGAGCCTTCCTTTGTCATTGCTTGTGGTTTCATTCTTATATTTAAATTGTAGAAAACTGACCCCTTCTTAGTGCAGGGCAGCTTTTAGTTTTGTTATGAGTGGACAGACTGCGTGTTAAATAGAAAAAATAATTTTAAATTCTCAGTTCTGGATTTTTTTTTAGTTTTCCAACAAAATGGTAGGTTTTATAGAAGACCAGATGATGTGTGCAGGATTCTTTTTGTTTAATTTTGTGATAAGTTCAGTTTTATTTTCTGGGCTTACTTTATAAGCAGTTGTATAACAGGAACTGGATGGGGGGGAGGTGATAAATGTGGAGGACTACAGATTGCTTCAGTGTCAAAGCAGAATTAGAGGACTAGAACAAACTTTTCCATCCAGCTTCTTGCAGAAATATTAGACTGTGCACATGTGGCTTTCTGAATTTGCTTTCATCGTAAATGAGCTCTACTGAGCACGTTTGGAACACGTGCTAATTCAGTGGTTGTTAGTTGTATTTGTACAGTTTTTTCAGCACTCTGATAATTGGCTAACACACGCAGCCCAGGCATTTACAACTTCTAGATTTAGAATCATTCTGATTTATGTTTTGCCTTAGCTGTTGAATTACATCCTCTTTCATTTTGTCAGTAATGCTCAAATGCCAGTAACCCTGAGGTATAATAGTCTAGCAAAAAAGGGAACTATTCAGGATTTACAGGTCTGCCCAGGTGCAAGAACCTTATAATATTACATTTACTGCTGGAAAAGTATGAACAAATTGCTTTTCATTGATAAAACTCCTAGAAAATAACTCTGAAGAATAAATAATGCTAGAGGATACTATGCTCAAGTGGGATTTTCAAAATTATCACAGTGAACCTCACTGGGTTCACTATAGATTTAGATGAGTTATTTATGTAATTCTGAAAAACCTCATCTTTGGCGATGATGCTGGTTGAAATTACAAATGAAAATCACTTTCTCATTTGCAAGAGACGATGGAAGACTGTATAATCAGGAGTGATATGGAAAGGCTGAATGGCAATCAAGTGTTCCTTGCCTCTTACAAAAGAAATAAGGAGGCAGTAATGAAACTAGTGGATTTGAAACAAAAGGAGGTTCTTACTTGTTTTGTTTTGTTCCCCCTCCACACACACACAATATGAACTTTTTACTGCAGAATACGGTGGATGTTAAAAAGATCATAGAATCATAGACTGGTTTGGGTTGGAAGGGACCTCAAAAGATCATCTAGTTCCAACCCCCCTGAACATGGGCAGGGACACCCTCCACTACACCAGGTTGCCCAAAGCCCCATCCAACCTGGCCTTGAACACCCCCAGGGAGGGGGCAGCCACAGCTTCTCTGGGCAACCTGTTCTAGTGAGATTACACAAGTTCAAAGGGAGATAGGACAAGCTCACAGAAGAAAAAAAATTCATTATCCTGAGATACAACTGATGAAGTGGGACAGCACTTGGATGATAGAAATCCTCGTATGCCTCTGCTACTGTTATCTCCTTCCCCAGGCATACAGCCTTGGCCACTGCTGGAGGCAGGCTTGTAGATTAGCTGAACATTTGGGCTCTGACCCAGTACGGCCATTCATATCTTCTACCTGATCTTGCTGGCTCTTTTTCAATCTTTGCATTTCTATGACTGAGGTTATTTTCTTAGGAGAAATAAAAGTTTGGAGGTTGATTCCAGTTAAGGATTTGTTACCTGCCTTAAGTATCATTTATGGGTTATTTTTAAGCACTTTTAGGTTAAAAATATAAAGACATATTTGAATTGGTATTCTTTAAATGTCAAAGACGTATATACTGAGTGAAACAAATTTTGACTTGCGTTCTTTTCCTGAGAAAGCCAGAAATTAAAATTTCAAGCTCAATATAAAAAGTATAAAATGGGAAATCTTTTGCTTTTAAAGTAATGGTGTATTGTGGTAAATCAGAGTTGTTGATAGAAAGTCTGTTTCTTTTTCCTTGTCTTTTGAAACTGCTGGTTAATTATCTAGTTATCAATAGCTGCCTACCTTGGTTTAGATCAAAAAAATTCTTGGAATCAACTAAATTTTCACTACTTTTATTTTTATGGTAAGTGCACAGTATCTGCACTCCGTAGATAAAGAAACCAGACCACAGAGAACAAATTTGTAAGTTTTGATCCTAAAACTGAACTCCAATCCCCTCCTGCATAGGCATATGAGTAAAAATAATATACTTTTAGGAAGTACTGGATGCAACACATTCAGATGTTCAGGAGTTCTGACAATATAAACCTTTTTTATTCAAGATGCCTAGGCATGACTTAGGAGCGTAACTCCTCATCTAGATTAAAATTTTGCCATAAGCCTTTACTGGAGAGACAGAAGAGTTGGTATCAAAGGCAGGAGGAGCAGAGGAAAGGAGTGCAGCTATTCAGGAATGTACCAGTGAAAACATTGCTCCATCCACAGCTCTCCAGGATAATCTTGTTGCAGAACCAGAAAAGGTGGAGAAAACCTTGTCCAGTCCTGAATAGCTGGTAGTTTGGCTATATATCAGCTTGTTGTGGGAGGTACAGGTTCACTCCCACTCTTCTGGATCAGTCAAATCAGGAATTTCTCAAGTAATGGTTAGATTCTCAAAATTACAGGTGTTGCTTTTTTGACTCTGTTCTTTTGGTTTTGGTTTTTCCTG